GAGTTGTCTAGAAGCCAACCAAAAGCTGAATAACCTTACTAAGCATCCACCCGGGGTGACTCCCACGTCACCCTATGTCATATAGGTCCGATAACACATTTAAATCGGATTTACACAATCCAGCTTAGCCCATAAATCATAGAACTACCTTTTTTATCTCTGAAACCATCGATATGATCAAAACCTCACACCTATACCTTGAATAGCTTCGAACCAGCTGTAATAACCCATACTTGCACCCTCAGGTGAAAACATATGATATACCGCCTAAACCAAACACTTGGAACCATACCTTCTATTCACAGCAGTTGTCCCCAGCAACCAATTACCGGCAGAGAACCTCTTATTAGCTAAAGCCTTATTCCAACACTTTCATATACTGCCAACGATGAATGAAACACGCTATAAATCGTAGTCATCTCTCAGATCAACCATTCCTGAAACCACTTCCCTTGACTGATATCACAACAGATTTCCGGGTCAAACCTCGATGTTATCTTCCTAACAAGCTAAGATCAAATCTCTCCGTATTCATTAATGAACCCAACGATCACCTCGAATCCAACACCACTCTGGTGATATGATACCTCAATACAAGTCTAAACCACATCTTGCATAATACACGCACCAGTAAGAAACGATCTGAACACATTCAAATCATAACAAATGACTCAAACGAAAGAGCTGTACCTCAAGCTCATCAATACCATCACAACACAAGGCTGAGACCCCGTCTCACATCATAGAAATAGAACACCTGAATCTACCCCGAAAGGTCATATCTCCACGTGGCCTCGCTACAATGCGCGATCCTATCCAAACACGGTTACACATGAAACACCTCAAGTCACTATGCTCAAAATCAACAGCCACGCACAATTTGATGTCTGGAACCAAAGCAATTCATTACACCCACGGTGAAACAAACAACATACGCCACGACCCGATAGGTCATAACCAATACTCCATTTACCGAGCAACACCCAATTAATCTTCCCGCTCGACTCTCACTATGAATCCCCAATAGAACTGCACCATATGTGCCCATAACCAACAAATCATAACGTCTCACAACACCGAAAACAACTCATAGCTCTCCTCAGATCACTAACAAGCTCAATAACGATCGAATCAACCTATCCCTCAACAATACAATTCGGGGCCAACCAAGCCAACTCAAGCTAAACACGTATCCACATCGGCCTACCAACGAACTCATTACCAAGAAAGCCTGAAGCTGCTCCTTCCACTACTATAACTCCTGTCGGAGCCGTACGATACGGTGCCCAGCACCAAATCAATATCGAAATCCACAACCTCGCCCGGCGACATGCCCGGCCACAAGAAACGCATCCGAAAAGTCCCTTAACAGCGGAATGGAACCAATGGTAGGAACCTCTGCACTGACATCCATCATGAAGGCCCAATTAAGAAAAGCAATCCTTCCCAGCCGTCCACTGGGTCTTTGAAATATAAACCACTCTGCAAGAACATAATCCAATGCACCTCGCCACTCAACCCGTGGCATTTCCGGCATAGCCCATAATGCAATAGTTCAAAATCTTCCAACACTAAGAGAACCAGTCTGAATTCCAACATCACAATATAGCCTGTACATCAGAACTCCATATAACACACAAATCATCATACCTGATCCCAGTTTCCACTATGCGAATACATGCACACATTTGATACTCCTTCATTCCACGACAGATACTCGATATTTACCTGTGCTACCGAGCAAACTCGAATACCACCAGTGGAACCAACAAGAACATGCCGCGCTACTCGAAATATAATCAGTTTAATCACATTACCTTTTTCTGAGACATATACTCTCATCAAATCACTTCCACTTAGCAATATCATTTTCCCCAATCATCCGAAGATCATTTATCTAATCAGTTAGGAGGAATCACTACACATCCCATGCTCTGCATGACATACACAGGTCTTGTTCAAATTCTTACAATACTGACACGACGGATGAGACCTGTACACATTCATAACTACTACCGAAACAACAATTCATTAGTTCTATACTCTTGGTAAGAACTATCACCTCATTCTGAGCCAAACAATGGTCTTAGCTCTTTAATTTACTTCATATACTCAGATTGCACTGATCTCAAATTCAATGATCTCGTCTTACCCGGTACGAACTGTTCGGGCAATAAGCCATTCCAGACATAATTATAAGTCGTATATGATGCCCAATGTGCCAATAGGCTACCAATTCGAACGCAATACAAAAGAAAACGAGCTCTGGAAGGAATTACCAAATCCTACGCATTAATACAGACTTTCCTTGGAAAACATGTAGCAAGGCATACAAGGATAGCGTATAGAAAACTATACTCGATTTCACACTATTGCGGCGCGCAACCCGATCCAAATAACACACTCATGGCGGCGTGCCACCCGATCCACACATAGATCTCGCATAAGGAGATACACGTCGAGCTAAATCTGCTCATTATAACAAAATACCGAATATCGGTCATGAGCATGCTAAGTGCATAATATCATCCCTAAGGGATATTTAGCGTTATAAACTACGAAACTCAAGCACAACTGAGGTGCGATATACAGTCTGAATTTCAAGAGCCAAGTTGCTCAAGTAACATCATTCCTATGCGGATTCTCAACACATAAGCAATTTCTCGAGTCATTTCACCAATCACACGGCGTAATGCAACACTATGCGAGATATCTGGCAATGAAGCATCAACCTAACTACTCCTCCATGAGGACCGCGTTACAAGAATGCACACATCTGGCTTGATATAGATCCATTATTCACATTAAGTCCATCCACCGACTTCAAGCCGATCCTGCTCACAATGAACCAGTTTGACAACCTTTCAAGGGTCCATAATAACTCCCCTTTTCACCTAACACACAAGAACAACTGTCACAATCGGGGTAATCCTTCCCAGTTCACAACCCAATATGCCAAGTGCCCTCCTGGCATGAATTTCTCAATTTAACGACACCATCACAACCCTGATACTTGGTTTACATCTTTATTAGTCAAGTGACTACATGCCACACTTATATAATCTTCCAGTGGGACACACTCCCACAACATACCGCAACAATATTTGGGGCGTACCTCCAAACCACCGGTCGCACTAACGCTGAAGAGCGATCAAGAATCATTAGCCAGGACGCAAAGCCCTTTTTACAAAACACCGATCTTAGGTGAAGAAGACAATACCAATTTACCCTAACAATCGAAACTTCTTTCCTGCTCATCCGAGCTCATGACATCTTTGTCAAAATTTTCCCTTCACTCGTGCCATTCCCGGCCCAATCTCCACGACCAGAGCTGATTCACCAGCATGCATCAAATCAGAACTAACATAGTACATAAACGCCAATCCGCTAACCAATAGCAAGCTCCCCAACTTGGCTCGAAGCCATATATCACAACACACTATACTCATAACGCATATGCTCCATTGCTGTCGTAATACCATAGTGAGATTGAACTCGCTCTTTCATAAGCTTGTGGAAACTCGAATCATCTGGAATTATAACTCTTCTGCATTTTCTTGCATTCACTCACATAACAGTTAAGCCTACCCTCCAGGCGACCAAATTTTTCACTAAGTCCCAAATTTTTTTTTTTTTTTTTAAATTTTGGCAGAGTTTCCCTTGTAATTGGGTCCTATCCACCTGCCAGAGAATCACCAAACCATCCTAGCAACATGAGAAAGAATAAAAAACGTAGGATTCAACATTCGGGCTCAAGTTCGAATTAACTGAATATAATAATAGAGGAATGGGGTCGAATAGAAGATCTAGGGCGAAGAGTATTATACGAAGATAC